CACGTGCCTTTGACAACAGGCAGTGGAAGCCAGCTTGCTGGCTGACAACAGGATGGAAAGCCAGCACGTTGGCTACCATCATAGTTGAAGTGGGTAAGCCAGCACGCTGGCTGCCATGGTTGAGATGGCAAAGCCAGCACGCTGGCTAGCATCATAGTTGAAGTGGGTAAGCCAGCACGCTGGCTGCCATTGTCCAGATGGCAAAGCCAGCACGCTGGCTGCCATCATAGTTGCAGTGGGTATGAGCCAGCACGCTGGCTACCATCCTAATTGAAGTGGGTAAGCCAGCACGCTGGCTGCCATCATAGTTGAAGTGGGTAAGCCAGCACGCTGGCTGCCATTGTCCAGATGGCAAAGCCAGCACGCTGGCTGCCATTGTCCCCTTACCAGCAGCCCAAATGCTCACGACGATGAGCTGGGCTGTCACCGCTTGGCCGCCGGTGGGGGGTTTGGGAGGCCGCATCGCACACAAACACCCACACACTCCCTCAACTTCCACGAACGCACACATACGCAGACTCCTTTCCACACGGACATGGACACACGCACAGAAACCCACACACTACCTCAACTCACTCGACTTAACACTTCTCACTACACACTTACCGGATAACTCGCACTCTGATTTCCTACGTGATGAAAAATGCTTTCGGGCCACTCGTCGTCTAGTTTTTCTCTATTTTGGATGTCATGATATGGTAGTTTTTAAGCTATTTTTCGAGGAAATAGCAAAAAAATAGCAAATCCATTAGCAGGTGGGAAATATTAGTGGAACACAATAGTGAGAGACATAGAGCAGGGCAGGGGAACTGCAAATAGTTAGAGCGGGAATAGTGAGAGAAAAAGAGCAGGGCAGGGAAACTGCAAATAGTTAGAGCGGGCCTATAAGCCCGCTCGCTGCTAGCTACTTACTAGCTAGGACCTAGGACCGAGGACTTACAGGGCCACCGAGAGACAGGAAGCTGGGATACATCAGGGCCATGCAAGCTGGGATACGGACACCTCTCTTTTTAGGTTTACTAAACTTTTGATGGTGCTATTTCTCTCTCTAATTAGGTTTACTAAACTTTTGATGGTGCTATTTCTCTCTCTAATTAGGTTTACTAAACTTTTGATGGTGCTGTTTCTCTCTCTAATTCACTTAGCAGTTATTTTGCTAAAATAATCTTTTCATGTCTACCAGTGGTTCCCTGAGCACAGCTTCACAAAGTTAGAGGTCACCTCAAGAATAGGTCAGTCTTGTTTGCTCGGTTGAACTTGAGTTCGCGGGTAAAGGCCAAGTACCTGTACCATGCCATTCCTGACACAACAACCGTTTAACACAACAAATGTATATATATATATATTGTATATAAGAAGTACCTCTGAATGGCACAGCTGGAAAGATGTTGTAACTGTTTGAGTACTTTGATAGCAAAGGACATCAAAAGACTTCAGGGATCTTCAGGGGTTATACCGTTATGGTGGCAAACATGCTACGGAATTCTTTTTGGACATCCAAGTTCACACTGGCCCAGCCGAACATACATTAGGGCTGCTGGGCCACTTGGACTTGCTTCACAAACCGCTGCCGGGTTGGGACACAGACGGAAAGCTTCCAATTCTTTTGTCCGCATTGAAAAGCAGAACAGGGAACACCTCAAGCAATCCCATATTGGTGAGAATTTCGCAGCGGTCATGTTTCAACGGTTTCCGGGTTTCCCGCTGGCACCTCCTGGCAACATCCATAGTCCGCGTGCATGTGCATGTGCCCAGGGTGCATGTGGGGGTTCGGAGGCAGCGACATGGAGCACCTGAGAGGAAAGCATTTCAGGGGTATCCTGCAAAACTGAGGTGTCTAACTGGTTGGGGTCTCCTGAAAGGTTCACCCGGAGCTGCCAGGGTTTCCCTTTCAGTTTATCCTGGCCAGCGCCAGAAATTCAGCTCAGTCCATCCAGCGACTGTAAGGACATTTAGAGAATGCAGCTTAATGCCGCCTCACAGTGAAGGGGTTGCGGCGCTGACGGTCAAGGCCAATGCACATGAGAAAAACCTGCCCAACAAACATGGAAGTGGAAAATGGGAACCATCAAACATCAAACCGCCATTTCAGACAGAACATGCAACAGCATGTTCCTCTATTACCAGCAAACATTCCACTTCCCTGTTTCTTGGAGGGAGGGTCACTCGTTCTCCCATGTTCTCCCTAGACCCTCTGCTGAAGAGTCAGCAGCCACCCTTAAATGCCCTCAAGCCGATGGGTTCCACGATCGGTCGAACAGACCCACACCATCCGCGGCGCTGTCTGCGAGACCAGTTGGAGCGAGACCCGTCTGTCTGAGCCCAATCGCCGCGGCAGAATATGGCGGCATGACTGTCACCCCAGAGCCGAGCTCCAGACTCAAAGCCCAGGCTTGGGAAGACTCAACTAAGTGAACCAAGAGTCATGAGGGTGCTTAGCAGGTCCAAGTGCATCAATCATAGCTCCTTTCCCCTATGACTTGGAAGCACCTCCACGACTACCTCCATGGTACGTGGATCTACATGGTCTTCTTTGTGCTTCTTTGTCCTGGCTCGAGTTTCCGATCAGTTTCGTTGACTCACGGGGTTGTTTGTGATGTCCAGAGGGGCAGTTCTGGCAGAGTTCTTCGACCGCAAGCACACCAACCGGGTGCTGTTTCTCAGATTTGATGTCAGAGCTCTTGGCAGTAGTGTTGATACGCGTTACATGATGGTGCTACATCAAACGCCGAGTGATGAATCTTCTATAAACTTCAATCATTTGACAGGATGTCGCCCAAGCAAAGAAGGACCAAGCAACCTGATCCTTGCAACTGGGTCTTTGAGGCTGGCAATGGGCAAGCAAACAATGGTTTCCTTTTGTGTGGATTGAACCCAAGAATCCTTGCTGTGGAGTCACCCCCTGCAAAGGGATTGAAGGTTCACATTCGACCGAGATTACTCAAGAAGTAGGAATCAACCTTAGCTTCATCAAGAACTGGATTCAGCTTCTGAAATGTCCCCGGCCCTCAGAACTGTTCAGCAAGTTGCGAGGAGCTCCTGCAACCCTCCCATTGCGCGGCGAAACCGCCGTGGCGAATCGCCATGCGGTTCCCAGCACCCCAGCACCGCTTCCATTCTTCACGCTGAAGGGATTTGCTTAGGGGAAAGGCGCCGTCAAAAAGTTTCAACGACCAACTCAGAGTTATGCTCCAGAAGGGCAATGCGGCAATGTGTGGAGCAGGATCCTGCAATATTGCTCGGATCGTCTCCGATCTAGCCATGTCAATGGGTCGCAGCCCCCTGTTGTTCCTGATCTCGGGGTCTGCTCTGGCACGGAGCAACAAAGTTAGGAGCCCCTCGCTGTCAAAAATGACGCACCAACCCAAGGGCGTGGTGCTGGCGTTGCTGAAAAAATTCGCCGAGAGATTTGCCTCACCTCTGCAGCTGCTGTAAGCCCTACACATGAACTGCAGGATTCTCATGATGCCCTCGCTCTTGCACACTTGGTTGATATCTGCGCGGCTCTCCATCAACACCTGCGCCGTTCTGAATCATTATGGCCAGGGGAATCGCCGCGGTACACCAGTTGGTGCAAAGGGGATGACATTGCCAAGCCTCCTCTTCCACTAAGACTTGCACGGAGCTCTAGCAATCTGGCGATCACTTCAGATGGAGCTGCCACTCCTGCTGCAATCTGGATGGGGCAATACCGAAAAGTCTCCTTGCCCTGGAACTGGACCCCAACACCGTGCTGGACCAATAGGTCCACGGCGCCCACGCGTCAAAGACCCAAAGGAGCACCAACAGTGAGGCTGGACCTGAGGGGGTCGGCCCGAAGATCCAAAAGCGTCTCCAAACACCCTGAGGTCGTGGCTTTGGAACCACCATGCCCAATGCAGTGGTGGTTCAGTCTCGCGACGGCCACAGCACCTCTGGCATACTTGGTGCTGGGGTGTGAAGTGAAGCCTTGGCAGTGACAAGGCTGCGAATCAAGGCCACATCTCCGGAAAGGACTGCGCAAGCCACTGGGCCAAGGCCTTTCGACTGCAGTTTGGAGAAGCCGAAGTCGGACAAAAACTCGTCCAGGCCACGTTTTTTTTTTGGGGGGGGGAGTGGGAGACCCTCATCTCCTCGGACAAAGCAAAATACAACCGGTATGCTGCCTGGCTCTTCATTTGCTTCAAGTTGGCCACATATCTCACCAAAGCTGCTTGAATGATAGTGCTACAGGACGCGCGGTCCCTTTCCACAGAAAAGTCTCCGGTGTGCATAGGGTATTTATATGTATTTATGCCACAAAGGCACCGTGAAGTAGGCAGTATCAGCTGCCTTCAGCACTATGATTGGAGTCTTTGGCTTGGTGGACAACTAATAGCACCAAATCTCCGTACGGCACCAACCTCGTTGAAGCCAACTGTGGACGTCACGGGCACCTTTCGTGTCAATGTGCAGAGCTTTTGGCACTAAAGCAACGAAAACGTCGCAAAGCTCAACATAGCTGGGAATGCTCCTGATATACAACTGCTGCTCATCTCGAAGTCCGATGCTATGCTCATCCACAAGCTGAGGGACACAGAAGTAGTCTAACCACACGTGCCACTCCTGGGTTGCATCAAGCTCTCTTACGCTCAGCTTCCCGTCAAAGAATTGTGAAAGGAAAATCCTTCTCGATCTTGAGTTGCTTGGCCATCAAATTCTTCAAAGCACACGCAGTTGCTCTCCGTTCTCGTCTGGGTGGCGAAAGCCGGGCCACTGGTGAGAAACAAAAAGGGTGAACATCTTGGGCATCCAATTCTCCAAGAGACCTTGTGTCTTCAAGTGCTTGGTGCACTTGCAGCTTTCCAGTCATCTCAAGGACATGCGCGACTCGAACCACCCACAGTGGGGCGTGCTGCTCGTGCTGGCCATCCAGGCCACTTCGTCGACTTGGTCGACTCGAGGAGCTTATGACCTGCGCATGCACACCTTCATCATCTTCATCATCTAGCTCCTTTTGCAATGCGACATCCTCCGATGTCAAGCAACTGGGAACTTTGGGAAATGCGAAAATTCAGGGTTTTGGGGCGGGGTCGAAGTATTCTGGTTTGCGAAGAGTGACCTGTTGAAACTTCACTGAGTGGTCAGTTTTCTGTGTCATATACTCAGTCCGTCATCTTTCCCCTTGATCCACATTGCTAGGTGGAACCCCACAGCTTTCATTGCCTCATGAAGATCATGAAGTGCCACTCTAACGTCAGTCATTCATGATCTCATGATTCGTTATAAAATTTATAAATCAAAAACTCGTTTTCATGACTCGTTGATGTTTTTCTTCTGTTCCATTATGACGGTGATACTTTTGTTCAGGCGTTTCAGGCGTTTCCTCACGCCCGTTGGGCTCTGTCTGCTGACCGCTGTCAGCGGAAGCCTAGACTCCAAGAGCCACCGCTAGTTGAGTCTGGGATTCGGTTTTTCAGAGTGTGGCTTGGGACATGTATAACTGAGCTATCTTTGTCCAACAAAGTAACAATGAACCAACGGCATGGATGAGTGGAAAAACGTAAGATCTAGAATTTCATCTAGACTTTTCAACATTTCAACAAACACCTTATGATCTCCCTAATAAAACTGTTTGAAGTTCGTTGGCATACAAGGCAGTGAGACAGAGTGGTCACCACCCGCTGAGGAGGAGCAGCCTGAGGTTGTCAAGGCGGGTGGAAAGCCTTCCCAGAACAAAAAGGCGCTGTCCCCTTTTTGAGCTTTGGGAGTAGGCCGGCGGGCGGCGACTAGGTCGGGCTCCAGCAGGCGTAGCTTCCACGCGCAATCCTGGTGGCCCAGGTTCTTTGTGCCGAGACTTCTCCACATGTTGATGGACCAGTCTTGCCGTCACTGGAGGGCCGACATCCAAATCCAATTGGCATGACTTTCGCAGGTATGCAGGGGTGCAGGGTGGACTATCCATCAGGATGCTTACTTTCCCAAACGATCAGAGTGCAAAAAACCCATTGCATGAACTCTTCTGACACTTCTTTCGCACCATCTGGATCCATCCGGTCAAAATCTGTCCCAAAGTGACCCAGGCCCAACAGGTGTACACGACGAACGGCTGCAACAGTCAAATAGGTTCTCAAATTCATTCGTGGCCAGCCAGCGAAGCCCCAGGTGCCTGAATTATCCTTGGAAATGATCCATCAACCTCAACATCACCCAATCTAACCGCCAGTCTTCCCTCCCAGCCGCCTAGCGTTTTTGACCAGGTTCGTTGCAGGTTCAGTCCTTTGAATATTCTGACAGCTCTATGTTGGACGCCTCTGCACGCAAATCACATGATTCGCGCTCCTGATTCGCGGGGGTGCCACCGCCAGCTCGTTGGTGCCTGCCTAGGTCGGGCAAGATCCGGTCGCCGTTCTTCAACAAAAGGTTGGGAAAATGTTTCGACTGCATGTGGAACTCTGAACGGAGGGTATGCCCACTCTTATGGATGCAAACAAAGAAAAACTGAAAACATGGGTCTGTGGCAACACGCGACGGATGGTGATTTCATTTTAGCCGCCGCAACAAGACCAGCAATGGCAAGTTCGGCAAGAGCAAATATCATTCAACATCAGCATTTAGAACAAAACCGTTTAAAGCCGATTTAAGGCGATCCTTGAGAACGAGCAAGTTGGAGCAACGTTGGGGAGTGGGGCCTTGACTTCTGCTTGAAGTTTGTAAAGCTCATTGGACGGTTGAAAAGGGTTGTCAATTTCTGAGATACCTGCACACACACATACACACACACACACACCCACTGGTCTTCACTGGATGCATTTTTTTGGTTGTCTCATGGGGAAACTGACGGTCAGTGATGTCTCATGCATGCCCAAGGACGAGTTGATCTTTTCTGACACCTAAAATTTATTCTCCATGAAGTAAAGTAGGACATGTCCATGTCAACTATCTCCTGTCAACTATCTGAACGAGGCATATATCACATATAATAACATATATAGTCTGTCTCGATATCTCCCCGATTTGTTTTCCTTTTCATTGATTTCAGATCACAACAAACAGTCTTTTGACAGTCTTGGGGTTGAAGGTTCACCACATTCGTGGACCATCATTGATTAAACCATTCGGCCCCCATGTAAGGCTTACAAACGATACCCCTCCTCCAGTGCTTTTCGTGAAGGAAAAAGGCACAAAAGGCCAATTTGAAACCACAACCCTACAAAGAAGCAGGTCCCTTGGCAGATCAGAAGACTTTCACCTCCTCGATCTTCCTCACTTGGACCTCAGTCAGTCTGTCTGTCCTCCTCCGTGGGCATGTCGAGGAACCAAAGAGCTCAGGGGATGTGGCGCAGGTGGCTGTGGCCTGAGACATGGAGGAGTTCAGCGGGTCGAAATCTCCAATGCAAACCTTCCTAGTAGTGTCCTTGCTCCTAGTAGTATGGCCAGGAGCCCCTTCCTTGCTCATAGTAGTAAGGCCAGGAGCCCCTAGTAGCGTCCTTGCTCCCAGTAGTAAGGCCAGCCCCTCGCAAGTGAAGACTGCCCGTTGAGATGTGAAAGCAAGGAGGAGCCCACAAAACCCGTATTGTGGCTGCCATGTCCAGGGTCAAAGCAACAACCTGGTTCTTCTACTCAGATCCATCACTATGATTGATCAACCCATGCTTGTGGGACCACAACTTGAGTCACACCCACTTCCCTTGTGAAGTTGAAGTCGCGTGAACTCACAACATACAACACCAGCCTGCAGCTGTTTGTATAAGTCATGTTTTCCATATCCACTAAAGGCTTCTTGACCCACACAGCCCCAGCCGAGCGGGAGCTAGGACTCCTGACGCAGAAGCAGATTGGAGCTCTGAAGTTCCCAGCCTCGAGCATGCTTCAATCCTCAAGCAAAAATGGCACAACCCAAAGATGTGGCCAGCTTTCGGGCCAACTTTTGGGATGTTGATCTTTCATCTCCTTCTAGCATACCTAGCCTAGAGTTCTACCTTACTGGTAGTATGCAAGTGACACGCTCTACCTTTCGTGAAGGGCATGGGGCCATTTCCCCGCACACCGTCCGGTCCCTTGCACCCTGGTCGCGGCCGCGGTCCGGGCCGCCCCAACCGCGGGAAGGGCTGCACCCAAACCTTCCGGTCGGTCGCGGGAAGGCACGGAGAAAGGAACGTGCCACGCACTTTTGAGGGACCAAAGGGACGTCGCCACGGTTTTGGGGGAGTGGTCGAAGTGGTGGTGAATCAATCGTGAAACCATGCGACTTGATTAGGTGCGCTTAGGCAGAACTACGAGTAGAACTCTCTGCTTCGCTGCGGAGACGGTGGCATCGTGTGTGACTTTGACCTGCTTGCTTCATTGGTGACCGATTCAAGAAGCGAGCCATAGAAGTGTGGTGGTCCATTATGGATAGCTGATGTGATCTGCCCAGAAGTTGGGATCTTCTTCAGGCAGCGCGGCATAAGGCCTTACTGGGACCACATGGAATTCTCGGCATTTTCTATGAACCTCCGTCTTGGACGTCTGCACCCTTCGACCTCGGAAACCATCCCCTTCGTAAAGAAAAGCTCACGTGCGCGAAATTGGGCGCCTCAGAATCTGAGTCGGCATAAACGATCGCATCATTGCCTAGCAGCGATCGCACTGTTGAGAGTGCAGTGTGAACGATTGAGCGTCCATGACATTCCATGATCACAAACACTCTGTGTGAGTGATCACTGCAAATCAAAGAGATTTGATCAAAGAACCATTTGTAGAGATTCTCACCCTGCCCTCACCGCGGTCGGGGCCTGGGTTCCAAAAGCGCAAGCGGCGCTCAAACTGATCGAAGAATGGAAGCACCTGGTTGCCGGTCTTACAGTGTTGCCAGTGCTGTGGTGGAACAAAAACATGAAGTCCAAGGGAACAAAACCACAATACATGATGGACACTATAGGAAGCTTGACATTTCTGAGAGGTCACATCTTTGAAATAGGATGGATGTGGATGGATTTGGTCTCTTCATGTTTCGATGTTCACATCTTTTCACGAAATCCACCCCCCTTTCCCCGCAATCCCCCACAAGCTCGGAGTCTGCAACATAGACGTCCCCTCCCGGTGCGTCCCAGCTGCTCGTCCAGAGAAGACCCGATTCGGCACGAAGCCCTGAGGTGCCACGGTGAGGCCTCGAAGTCGTCGTGACTCGGCCGCGTGGCCGCTTCGTGTGCGTGGAGAAGTTGGGAACACCAATGAACCTTTGGTTAAGCCCAAACCATGTGAGATCCCAAAGTAGGACACCATATGACACCATTCAGTTTTCCATGCCGCTGATCGTCATCTTCAAGATGCCCAAACACATGACACGCATGAAGCGTTTGATGCAGCCAGCTGAGATTACTATGCACCAACCCTTCGCAAGGCTAGGTGAAAATGGTGAAAAACATGTGAAAACGGATTATATAATCATGCATATATAATTAATGCAAGGGATGGTGCACCTGAACTGTCACCCCATCCATTCTCCGTGTTCTAGGCGAGCGGCTTCCGCCTCGGCTTCCAGTTCCCTCCGCGGCGCGAGCGTCCCACACCTGGGTCGGACCGAGGATTGGGCCGTCAAAGGGTCGCAAGGACGGTTGATCTTCAGAGCCCCGTGGCATGGGATGGCACAAAAGGGTCACTCAGCGCCCCAAAAGGGTCAAGCGCCCATCTGACCTCCACAGCTTGTGATACGGTGAGGTTCTGCAATGGTTGGCATGTCTGGGACTTCAAGCTTTGCTAGATATGCAGCCGATGTCAAACCACAAGAGTGTCAACATGTGAACCCTTCCTTGGAGGAAGCCTCAGCCAGCTGACAGAAACCTCTTCCTTGTGAATCTTGAAGCCCATCTTGACCCCCAAACACCTACAACACTCCCAGCAAAGCGAAGCAAAGTCTATATCATTCTATATCACTACATGCACCTCTGAGAAAAAACAATCTAACCCCCCAAACCGGTAAACAACAAAATTCTTTCCTCAAGTCCATAGGACCACCTGAGCACGCACCTCCCACGCATACCCTATCATCCCACGCTGGGCGTTGTGGCAGTCCACACCAAGCAGTTGGGCGCGTGAATGAGCAGCCCTAAGCGAT